AACTGGAACGCGCAGCAGCTGCTGGTTCAATAACGGAGAAGCCAGTAACAGCCGGTGAGTCAACTGGCGTTTGCGATTCTGGAATATTTTGTTGCTTGGCGTTGAAGTAGAAATATCACTCACTAAACGATTTCTGGATCAGTTAAAATCCGTAAAGTTTTGTTTAATCGGATCGAAGAACTGCATCCATCTCTCAAAAATATTTTGATGATAATTTTTGCAGAGGCATTCCACCAAATTGAGCTTCCTGCCGCTGATCCGGACGCTAATGGAATTCGTCATTACCATTTCATTGTTAGTTCTAACACACGCACGCTGCCGCCCCTAAGGCGAGGAAGAGCATCTGTCCAGTTTGTTCAGAGAAAGTTGTTATTTTCCCGCAAACCATACTGATGGGGCATACGCGCCATATTTTCGTACTCTTCGTTACAATTCCCGCTTAACCTCACCGCCTCCCCTCCCCCACTCTTCCGACGCCCCATCTTCACTCAAAGGTATTTAAGCAGATCTGGATTTTGACGGATGCTGCTCCTGTTAGGCAACGGAGTGTTTATCTACACTGCTCGTTTTGCATTTCTAGTTCCCTCGTTGTCGCGTCACTAAGGAGCTGTAAAAAATTGCAGGTGGAGTTCGAGACTACAAAGACATTTCTCTTCTCCGATCGGCCGAAGACGATCGAGCTGCAGCTCGAGGCAGCCATGCAATGCCCCACTCCAATCCACTGATCATGCTTCCTTTGCATAAATTATTATAAGCTATGTGCTACTGCTGCGCACACTTACCACCCCACAGAACTGCCCCATAGCAGTTGCTACTGCTGCTTGCTGCTACTCCAGCCACTAATTTTGGGTTCAGACTATTTTAGCCCTATTTCTTTGCCTGTCATAAGCAGCCGAAACATAACAAGAGGTCACGTGATGGGGAATGCAGTGCCGAAGGGTGCTCAGCATTTCGACACATAAGTTTAATAATTCAGCAGAACACTTGTCTAGCAATGCCTGGAAGAATTATTGGCTTATTAAAAAATTTTTGAGTGGTGCTAAAATAGCCTCAACCCGAAAACTAATAGCTAGAGATCGTGCGGACAGAAAAGAAATTTGATCCAATGTGTGTATGTATGTACGTGTGTGTGTGTGTGTGTGTGTGTGT